CGGGCTGGAGAACCTAGTGTGAGAGCATGGCTACAGAACCTGGCTGGAGAACCTGGAGAACCTGGCTGGAGAACCTAGCAAGAGAACATGGACACAGTACTTGGCTGGAGATTGTGGCTAGAGATCCTGGCAAGGCTGCTGATCAACTGAACGCTGTCTCCGTGTCATTCCTTCTTCGCCGACTCCGTCCACACCTTTGGGGACCCCTGGACTTGCTGGGGTTGGACCCCGGCACCTGTGTTCAGAATGCCTAGCCTACTCTGCCTCAGCCTTCACTCTTGCTCTCACAGAGCCTCAAGGTCACACACAGGTGAGAGCGTAGGGCCTCCTCAGTTCTTTTCTGGGTGTGTTTACAGCCTTGCATATGCACCTGCATCTGTCCTTCCAGATCCCCAGGAATATATCAGATCTTTTCTGAAAATTTTTATGTATTGATTAGAGAGAAAAACATTGATATGTTGTTCCACCTATTTTTGCATTCATTGATTTCTTATATGTGCCCTGACTGGGGATTGAACCCAAAATCTTGGCATAGCTGGACAATGCTCTAACCAAAGGCCCTACCCATCCAGGGCTTCAGAGCTGCTCAAATCCCCCTCTGGACATTCTATTCCCTAGCTCTTACTTTCATGTTTATTGGTCAACCTCTTGTTTGCTCTAACTCTTATCACCAAGGCAGGCATCTGTGGAGTTAAACAGTGACCACCAACTGTTTTGAAATGGTATGCAAACAGTTCTGAGTCAGGTCAAAGATGAGCTCTGTAAGGGGAAGTGTCTCAGGAACTGCCATACAGGTGACAGTTATCTGGGTCTCACACCCACTAGAATGGCTACTATTTTAAAAAAGAAAAGTGTTGGTGAGGATGTGAGAAATTGGAACCTTTATGAACTATTGGTCGGAATATAAAATGGTGCAGCTGCTATGGAAAATAGTATGGCATTTCCCCCCAAAATTAAAAAAAACAGAATTACTATTTAATCCATCAATTCCACTTCTGGATATATAGCCAGAAGAATTGATTTTTCACACCCATGCTCATAGTAGCATTATTCACAGTAGACAAAAGGTAGAAGCAATCCAGTGTCCATCAGTGAATAAGCAAAGTGTGGCATATACAAAATAAACAAAAAAAGGGAAAATGTGGTAATACTTGCAATGTTATTTACCTTATAAAAGGAAGAAAATTCCAATAAAAAACTAAGTGAAAGGAAGGAAACTCTAACACATGCTGCAACACAAATGAACCTTGAAGATATTTTGCTAAGTGGCATAAGCCAGTCACCAAAAGACAAATTTTTGTGGTATCTAGAATAGTCAAATTCATAAAAATGTAAAGTAGAGGGTTCCGGTGGCAGCAACTGCAACGCATGGCAACCCTAGGACATCCTGCTGGGGAGAGACCGGCAGCCCCAGTACCAGGACACCCCGTGTGCAGTGACACCTCCAGGGTGCATCCCTAGGCGGTGAAGGTGAGGCAGCTTCAGGAAGCAAAAGAAGAAAAGCTGGGACGGGAAGGCCTGCGAAAAGCCAGCCCCAGAGGAATCCCCTCCAAGCCCAGAGGCCCAGGTGAAGCAGCTGGCTCAGGAACTGGCCTGGTGCGAGGAGCAGCTAGAACTGGGCCTCAAGATGCAGAGACCCAGGCTGCGGGCTCTCAAGACAGCAGCCCACGTGCAGCCTGTAGGTGAGGCCACCAGAAAGAAGAGCCGAAGGGTCTGCAGGCCCCGTCTCGAAAGGGGAACCAAGGCCGCCCTGGACATTCCAGATGAAGAGTTTAGGTTCAATTTCTTTTAGCCTCTCCTCCCATCTTGCAACTGCCCCTCTCCCCCCAGGGTGTAGGGGTTTGCCTGGAGTGCACTTAGAGAGATGTGGGTTTGGTCTGTGTCTGGAGGGTCAGTTAACCTGGTGCCATGGCTGCTGGGCAAATGTGAGGCCAACATATTGAATACTGTCTGACAAGCACAAGACCCCATTTGTAGGTTTTCAGATGAATGGTTCCTGCTGCTAGAAGAGGAAGGTCCATTGAAAAGGCTTCTGCAG